CCTCCAGCCCCTAGTCCTCCTGAGCCACCATCCTCTCTGAATGGGCAGGCAGCGGGTCATGGCGATCAGAATAAAGAGAAGCCCAGACTCACCCCATTTCTGAGCTGCAGCAAGGGAAGTATTTGCCTGTTCCCGGAAGTGGGCACACATCCTCTCCAGCTGGGGACTGTCCGGTGAGCATCTCTCTGGTTGGGATATTTCAGCTCCCTCTTCCCTCTGTCTTCCTTCTCCCAATGAGCGCCTCTCTCTGGGGCTTCTTGGCCCCTTTGCCTGAAAGGATATTTGGACAGAAAACAGCCAGAGAAGAGGGGAGATGGAGGAAGTGGCTGCCTACCTGCCTGTGACTAGAGTCCTTAGATAGTGGAGAGAGGTGAGCAGTGATCCACTCGCCCTGGAGGAGGGTTCAGAAGTTTATCTTTACTCCAGCTCACTGATGTGAGGTCTGGGGAGCTATCGGGCTGAAGTGGCTGGTGCCCTGTTTCTTGCTGGACCTCTAAGCCACGTGCCTGCAGGTTGGTTTGGTGCATGCTGTCCTGTTAACCCCCTCGGCACTTGCCAAACTTCAGTGGATCTTGAGACTGTGGCTGAGGACAAGTGAGCACTCTGAGCTGGAGGGAGGAGGTGGTGAGTGGGGGGGGAGGGCAGAGAAATGTCCCCGGTGCCCTCCAAGGACGCTCCCCAAATTTCTAGGCAGCGTCCACTGAATCCCAACCCAAGAGGCAGAAGGATTTGAGGGCATTTAACTTTAAGTTGGCGAAGGCAGAGAATCTCCTGGCTGCAGTTCCACTGTCCTGAGACAGAGGGTAGCTCAGGGAAGGTGAAGATGCCGCTCTTGGTGTTGGTCTGTGGCCCAGAGAGGAGCTGGAGTGGTGTGTGTGTGGTGGTGGTGGTGGGGCTCCCTGCAGAGCCTAGTGTCCTCTGGCTCCTGGAGCCCAGTCAGCACCCGCCTCCAGCTCCCTCTGTCACCTGCAATGCCCCCACAGGAGCGCTAGGGCTTATGGGGGAGGAGGCGGGAGAGGGAGGCGGGCAGGCAAGGGCAATGGGGTAACCAGAGGGGGAGGAGGCTCCCTGCCAGGCTCTTGTTACTTAGGAGGAACTCCTCTTAAAATAGCTTTGGACAGCGCTCTCCTTTCTCACCCTGCCCGGCATGTGGTCTTGGCCACTTTCTGAGAACTGACAGGGGAGGGAGCCTTCAAGGGACCCTCCCTGGTCATCTGTAGAAGGTGATCCCCCCCCACCCCGTGAGTGCTTTCCAGTGTAGGGGCAGCTCCCAGAGGCAGGCAGCTGGAGCTCTGCCTCATGTTGACTCCTTTCTAGCCTGGCCCCTCCTGGGAAACAGGGACCCTGTCCTTGCTAGCTCTGGTCTAGCTCCCTTGGAGGGCACCAGAAGGTGACCAACTGAATTGCCTGGTCACCTGGTTTCTAAAAAGTCAGTTGGGCTAACTGCTGCAAAGAGCCCTGCGTGAATCCCCAAGGAAACAATCTCCTTCCCTGTAAATCTAGGCCCTGTTCCTCTAGCCTGAGAGTGGATAGTCTTCTGACAGCTCCTTGGCACAGGGCCCAATCTGTCTCTGCATCCCTGAAAACTTGCTCTTCAAGATATTTCTGAGCCAGGCCACCCAAGAGCTGGGCATGCACTTACTCCATCACCAGGAATTAGGCTTGTGAGGGGTCACACCTGGGGGCAGTGTCCCAAGACACCACCCCTTCCCTCCCTCAAGGGACCAGCAGAAGCAGGGCTCTTCAGCTGAAGAGTGCCTTCCCAGTGCCTCCAGCCGCCAGTCCCTCTGAGCCACCATCCTCTCTGAATGAGCAGGCATCGGGGCATGGCGATCAGAATAAAGAGATGTCTGGACTCACTCCATCTCTGAGCTGCAGCAAGGGAAGTATTTGCCTGTTCCCAGAAGTGGGCACATACCTGCTCCAGCTGGAGCTAACTCAGGGAAGGCTCCTTAAAGAGATAGTTTTCAAAGGGGGCGAGAAAGGAACTCGGACCTTCTGTCACCTCCTCCTCAGAAGGAGCCTCTGAGCTGGATCAATGACTAAGTTTTTGAGACTTTTTGAAGAAAGTGCTCTATAAATGTAAAAATCCTCCAGCTGCTAATGCATTTCTCAAGTGCTCTTTCTGCCCAGTGCAGAGTCCTCTGAGTGTTTTTAGAGGAGACCTGAGAGTAGGTGGCACAGGGAAATAAATAATGGGGGAAACTCCAACCCCGGCGTTCACAGCAACTCTCTAGGTGACCTTGAGCCACACATTCTGCCTCTGTGAGCCTCTTTCTTCTGAGAGGCATTGGGGTTTCCTAACTCTTAAACATCAGTGAAGAGCCAGGCAGCAGGAAGGTGGGGAGAGGGCACGGAGGAGATTAGCTACCTTCTCCTGTCACCGGGATCTAAAGATAGCCACAGAGCTCAGTTCGCCTCTCCCAGTTCTCTGGGTAGGGGTCACTTTCTTTCCCTTTGGCTCACCTCAGCCTACTGCTCTGGGAAACATGACCCCTGCTGCAAAAATAAAGTGGGCAGCATGGATGCCTTGCCCGGTTAACTTAGTCCAGGGACTTCCTGGGGGAAGGACAGGGTAAGCCATCAAACCTGGAGACCTGGAGGGTGAGGCTTAGCCTTTTTGGGCCACAGACCTCTTTAAGTTCAAATGTACTGTTTCCACGGTGGCTAGCCCTCTGCTGAGCACTTTTACATGCAATAATGTCTTGTTCCCTCTGCACAGCCAGGCCCACTTCTGACATGGCAAGACCTGGGGCAAGGGTTCAAATGGGAATTAAGTATATGTTGAAATATATACTCTATAAACCAGGATAAGAAAGTGTTAAGCTTGATCTTTTTATTTTTTTCTTTTTGAGACAGGCATTTTTTTATGTCACCCTTGGTAGAGTGCCATGGTGTCACAGCTCACAGCACCCTCAAACTCTTGGGCCTAAGCGATTCTCTTGTCTCAGCTTCCCAAGTAGCTGGGACTATAGGCGCCTGCCACAATGCCCAGCCATTTTTTTGTTGCAATTGTCATTGTTGTTTAGCTGGCCGGGGCTGGGTTTGAACCTGCCAGCCTGGGTGTATGTGGCTGGTGCTATAACCACTGTGCTACTGGTGCCCAGCCATTAAGCTCCATCTTTTATCTTCTGCCATTGAGTACTTTTCCTGAAGACCAGATCTAAAATGGAATTTCCAGACCATTCCCTTGTTCATCTTCTTCTCTGGTCCCACAGCAACAGGGGCTCTTGTACATATATGCCTGGGGTGCATGTGAAATCCCACCTACTCCCCATCATCTGCAAACAGCTATCCCTGGGAACCACTTCCTGGGCCTCTTTATGGGTCAGCTCTTTGTTTGTTTGTTTGTTCTGTTAAGCAGGCCCAGGCCAGTTGGAACCCACCACCTCCTCAGTGCCAGTGTTCTAACCACTAAGCACAGGCGCCCTATGGGCAACTCCTGAGAAGCTACCTCAGGATCTGGGATATCCAGAGTACAGTCTAGAAGGGGAGGTGGTGCATGGCTCCCTCCTTGGTCTGATGCATTCATTGTCCAGTGAGGAGGAGATGCCTAGGGGAGAGCTAGAGTGAGGCCCTTTAAAATCAGGAGCCCAGGGCAGAGGGGCCCCTGTGGCCCAGGTCTAAGGGCAGTATGGGTGGTAACAATCCTGTGAGGCCAATATTATTCTCACTATCTTGCAGATGAGCAGCAGAGGTTTTTCCAGAAGATTGCATAACTTGCTCAAAGTCACCGTAATAAATGGCCAGTGCCACTACACCACTATATCACTGTGATATGGAGAAAAGATAGCCCTCCTGTCTCCAGGAAAAAATAAATAGCATTTTGCATACAACCTCAGGGACCCAGGTTAAGACGGTGGGTCGTTTCGCAGTGCGTGGGTATGCCAGCCCAGGCCAGGAGTTGGAACAAGTCTCCAGACAGCAAAGAGCACCAGTGGTAGAGGGGAGGAGCATGGGTGGGTGGGAAGGGGTGCAGAGCAGTATCGAGCCTAATTACAGAACCACTACTCCAAGTAGCACTGCTCACGTTTAACTCAAAACTGGGAACAGTCTTGAGTCTTTACTGGGTTTACAGCCTCATCTCAACCCTCGCAGGTGTGACTCTCGGCTCCTCCACCCATACCCCAAAGGGGAACCAAGGGAGTCTGCGGAATCGCAGGGACCAGGCACGCAGAAACCCTTACGGGAGGGTGAAAGGGTGGAGTCCGAGGGTGACCCAGGAGGGAAAATGAGAAATAGGGGTTAAGTAAGGCACAGGCCCCAAACCAGCATGTGAGAACTGGTAGCGTCAGAGGGGAATGTTGGGGGACAGTGGGCAGGGGGCAGTCTGCAATCGGAGGCTTGGTTCCCTGCGGCCTAAAACAACCCGCAGAGGGGATGAGAAGCGGGGTGAAGGCGGCGACCGCGGGTCCCGAGGCTGCACGCGCGCCAGGTCGCACGGCCCCCGGGGCGGCACGGCTGCAGTGGGCAAGACCGCACACGCCCACCCGTTGCGGCAGCGTCCGCTGCGGACTTCAGAGCAGGCTCTTGGCAGTCCCCAGAGCGGGAGCCGCTACCCTTCCCGTGCTCTTTCAGCAGAACAAAACAGCCTCTAACAACCGAAAAGCTCCACCTCTACTCCCCCTGAATTATCCTCCCAATTGGCGGCTCAGCGCAGGGGATGATGCGGGCGGCTGCGGGCCGGCTCTGCAGTGCCACGCCGCAGCCGTGCAGCCGGACTGGAGAGGGAGTAGGGGGTCCGGGCTGGTCCCGGAGTTCCGGGACCACGAGGTGGGAACGCCAGGGAGAGTGCGCAGCGGGCCGGGGCGCCCAGGTCTCCACCGCGGCCACCGCCCCTCCTGCGGCTGGAGCGCTTCCAGAACAGAGGCGCAGCCTAGCTGGGCTCTGCGCTCGCTGAGTCGTCCTCCCGCTGCTGCTCCGGCTCCTCCTCCTCCCCTCCCGCCGCGGCTCCCGCAGGCGGCTGGCGAGCGCGCCTCCCCCCTCGCGCCCTCCCCTTCCTCTCGCTCTTTCCCGGCTAACTTTCCCAAGCCCCGACCCGCGGCTCAAAGCTCCCCGGCAGCTTCGGGGCCCGACTGCCGACTGCGGGCGGAGAGCGCGGCTGTGCCCAGTATCCCATCCCCGCGCCTCCGGCGCGCTCCGGAGAGAACGGGACGATGCCCGGGGCTGGGGACCGAGGCAAAGCCCCAGCGAGATGGCTGGGCACTGGGCTTTTGGGTAAGGCAGCCCCAGCTTGGTCTCTTCTCTCGCCTTCTTCCACCCAGCCAGGAAGGGGACACTTGAGCGGGGGGAGCGGGTGAGGGGAGACTTGAATTGGAAAGGGTGGGTTTTGGAGTACCGCACATAATGAACACGGTGGCCACCGGCTTCCCGCCGGACGCCTGACTCTGAGGCCGTGCTCCATGGGGACTGTGCGCGTCCCCTCACCCCCTCTCAGCCTGCCGGCCTCCGGATCAGTCTTCTGCTTCAGCTCCAGGCTTTTGGTGCTGTATCTCGGGGCTGCAGCGCCGGTCTCCAGAGTTCAGAGGCTCAGGTGTCCTGGGGGATGAGGGGGTGTCTGTGCCTTGGATGTAGGGGATGCCAGCTGGGTTGCACGTGGGGTTGGGGTGCTGGTTTCCACCCCTGCCCGGAGCTGTTTGCTTGTTTCCTGGACGTCAAGCATGTACCAATGGGGGTTCGGGGTTCCCCGTCCTCCTAGGCCCTTTTTCTGCTTTGCTCTTCTGCGTTCTACCTCCTCCAGGACCCACTGCCTTCCCTGAAGCTCCCCACTAAAGACTGGAAGGGGTTAGAGGGGCTGGGGTATCCTTCAGAAGTCACCTTTTCTCCCTGTAAAGAGATTCCATTAGGGAAGAACCTGCTTGACCCTCTCCTGGCTTTTCCTTTTGGAGTAAACAGAGAGACCAAGGAGACAAGTCCAGAGGACGCGAAGTATTATTAATATCTATTAATATGCACATGATAGTTTTGAGCGTCAAACTCTAAGAGATTAGGGAATGTATTTATTAGTCCAGAATGTAATCTCCTCATAAATCACCCCCAGACTTCAATGTAAGCCGACTCCATCTCCGGCAACTGCATCTCTTCCTGTTTGTGTTTATTAGATTTGGCTTTCAGCAACTCCTCTCTTTGGGTCAGGCACATAATATAGTTATTTGTGCTGAAAACAGGGAGACAGAAACCTATTAGGGAAGTTGTGGCTGTTTCTGCAAATGTAAACTATATGTAGACCTGTCATGTGGGTGCCGGTGGTGAAGGGGGGATAGGGTATTCCTGTCACTCAAGAGCCACTGGTTTATTTACATCTCCTTGGCTGCATGGAAGACATTGGTGTTTTCTCCTGTACCTTTCACCCAGATGTCATGCTGGTTTCACAGTGGCCCAAATAAAGTGGACCCCTTGAGGCCTACAGCACCTCTTCTTTGGGTGGGCACCGTGCCACTCCACACCACTTCCCCTTATCCCATCTGAGATCAAAGCAGGCCCCCCACTGTGACCATGGCAAAGGTCACTAACTACCCTACTTTACCCCACTGGCTTATCTTCCTCCTGCCACCTGGTCTGTTAGAAGATTCATAGAATGAGGCTTCTGTGGGTTTCAAGAGCCCTGAGAATGATGTGTATGTGTGTGTGGGAGGGGGACTGTGGTAGAGTCTCGGTACATTTCTCCAGCTGGAAGCCCCCACCTTCTCCAAAGGCTATCAGTTATGTAGACCAGGAAGGGTCAGAGGCCATTGAAGCAGGTTTGGATAAATATCTGAGCTACACCTTGGTAGCCCAGGAGACAGCAGAGTGCCTTGTAGGTGGGAGATCTGCTCTGCCCCCTGCCTCTCCAGTCTGCAGAGGAACTACAACCAGGGCACTCCATTGGCCTTGCCCGGCAGCCACTGACTGAGCCCTCACAGGGGCATTGGTCTTGGGATGTAGATATGTTTGTTGCAATGGGGGAGACATGGAAATAACTGGACAGTCAACTGGAGGTGTTCCCTGGGAGCATCAGAGCTGGGGCATCAACTTTGGAAACAAAAGGACAGAGCTCTTCTAAGGGTGAGGAAACTGTGGTCCAGAGAGGGATTGTGACTTGCTTAAGGGTGCATGGCCAGTTGGTGGGCAAGTGGGACAGAATCAACATCTCTTGGCTCTGTCACACCATACTGCCTCCCAGTTAACCGAATCTGTCGAGGAAGGTCAGTAGGGATTGTGCTTAGGGCCTCTGAGGCATAGGCTGGAAGGATAAGGCATGGGGACTCAAGCTGTTGATTTCACAGTGGTGGAGACCAGTGTAGAGAGGTAAGCTCCCAGGAACCCTCTTCCCCTCTCTGCATATCACACTGAGTCTCGAAGACTGAGGCTAAAGTGACTGTTGATACCCAATAAGATACCCTTTCCTTAAAATGAGAAGCAGTTTCCAAGGCTGTACTTTTTTCGTTTTTTTTTTTTTTTTTTGAGACAGAGTCTTACTTTGTTGCCCTCAGTAGAGTGCCATGGCGTCACAGCTCACAGTAGCCTCAATCTCTTGGGCTTAAGTGATTCTCTTGCCTCAGCCTCCCAAGTAGCTGGGACTACAGGGGCCTGCCACAATGCCCAGCCATTTTTTTGTTGCAGTTGTCATTGTTGTTTAGAAGGCCCATGCCAGGTTGGAACCCACCAGCCCTGGTGCATGTGGCTAGCACCTAACCACTGGGCTATGTGTGCTGAGCCTCCAAGGCTGCATTACTACATTTATGTGGGTTCTAGTCTCTTCCTAAGCATGTAACATAATATAGCTGTCCTGCCCACCCCTTTCTTGTTCCCTCGTTTGCTTAATTGCTGTGATTTGGGTTTAATTATCACTTGTGAGAGTGCACTGTTGCACAACCCTCTTTCCTTTGGTGTATATTTATTAAAGCTTTGTTTAATGAGAATGCAATTAAGGAGAGGGTGCTGAGTCCCACTCAGAGCCAAGCAAAGGGAAGGGTAAGCAAGGAACTCATGGAGAAGAGGAGAGGGCAGGCAGAAGTGGAGGGAGATCCTGGGTTTGAATCTAAAAAAAAACCGATGGTTGGTTCTCTTTCTGAACCTGCAGGGGCACCCAAGAGAGAAGGCTGTGGTCCCAAAGCCCACATGACTGGCCACCTCTTGTGGGATTAGCATGAGAGGGAGACCGGGCACAGCCAACCACCTTGCCTTCTAGCTGGTCCTCCAAGAGGTATAGGGATCTCTGCACAAGGCAGGGGCGGCTATGCCAACGCAACCCACTGTGGCCTGTAAGAGGAAGAACGGGCACACTGCTTGGACTTGTTAGCAAAGCCGGTTTCACTGAGCATCCAGGCTGTCTCCGGGGCATGCAGAGCTCCTGGGGGTGGGAGGAAGCAGGCAGGTTGCCTAGGGAGAGAGTGTTGAAATCTTTCCTTTGTCTCTGAGCTTTAGGGACCTTTTCTGGCTCCACTCTGCCTCTAACAGCCCCCAGGGCCTCCACCCCAGGAGAAGTCCTAGCCTGCTGGCCTCAGCCCACATTCTGCCTCCCAGCTCTAACTTTGAGCCTCTCTGATTCTCCCGGGGCCAGAGTGTGTCAGCCTCTCTGTAAAGGCAGCCATGTCCCCATGTGCCATGCCAGGTGCGGCCTCACAGCTAAACTTAGAGAGGGAACCAGCCTGCCCCTCTTCCCTCCCTCACCCAGGGAAGGCTGTGACTGATCCCTGGATGTGGGGAAAAGTGACAGAATATTTTCTGCCTCGGCATTTGCCTGGGAACATGTGGTGGCCGCCCTTAGAGCCTTGGTGGTGTGAACATCTAATGTCATTTGTGTACCTAATACTTTTTCACTTTATCAAAACTTGGGATCCTGAGTCAATCCTCAAACAAAACCTCAGATGAGAAGGGCAGGGGGCCGAGGACTTCAGAGAAAGGCAGAGAAAATGGCTGCTGTGAGAGTGGCTAGATGGCTGGGGCCTTTTAGTGAGGAGAGGCAAGGTTTGGGGGGTTATTTTTTTATTTTTTATTTTTTTATTTTTTAGACAGAGCCTCAAGCTATTCCCCTGGGTAGAGTGCCATGGCATCACAGCTCACAGCAACCTCCAATTCCTGGGCTCAAGCGAGTCTCCTGCCTCAGCCTTCCAAGTAGCTGGGACTACAGGCGCCCGCCACAACGTCCGGCCATTTTTTGGTTGCAGCCATCATTGTTGTTTGGCAGGCCCAGGCTGGGGATTCGAACCTGCCACCTTAGGTGTATGTGGCTGGCGCCTTAGCCGCTTGAGCCACAGGTGCCGAGCCAGGTTTGGGGGTTTAAGACTGAATTCCAAAGCATCATCTCAGAATGCCAAGAAAGGACCCCCACTCCCAAACATATACACATATACACCCTGACATTCTAAAAGGTTAAGTTTAGGACAAAGCAGACTTAACTCAATGGCTTCCCCACTTTAGGCGGCTGAGGTGGGAGGATGGCTTGAAGCCAGGAGTTCGATACAAGCCTGGGCAACATGGTGAGACACTGCTTCTACAAATAATAATAAAACAATTACCTGGACATGGGTCCTAGCTACTTAGGAAGCTGAGGTAGGAGGATCGCTTGAGCCCAGGAGTAGAAGGTTGCAGTGAGCTGTGATCAGGCTGCTGTACTCCAGCCTGAGTGATAGAGGGAGACCCTGTTTTGAAAAAAAAAAAAAATTCTGTCTTTACTCCAGGGAAATAATCCAAGATGTGGTACAGGGTGAAAGATAAATCAATGTGTGAATGGCCTGGAGACATTCTTGGCTGACACTGGTCATTAAGGGAAACTAGGGCTGCCTGGGTTACTTAGGATGATGAGGGCTAGCCTTCTCCCCTGTCTCTTTCAAACACCACCCTCCTCTACCGTGTGGGGTGCCCACTCACTGAACCCCTCTTATGTTTTATAATCTCATGTTTTGTTTTCACACCAAGCAGGGGAGGTAAGAAAGATAGCTCTCTCTGCCATGGCTGGCTGTGGCACCTCTGACTTTCTCAAGGTCAGCTGGCAGAGTGGAGGCCTGCCTTGCACCTGCTGACCAGTCCTCCCTTGGCTTGGTTATGCTGCTGAAGCAGGCTTCTGGGGGACCTCTAGTGGACCAACACCTGCCCCCAGCTCCCTTCTCTTCCCTAGCACAACATCACAGGTGAGGCTGGGCTTGGGAGCCACCCCCTCCCCCCAGGCTTTCTGGAGTCTCCCACACATGGCTGGCAGGACTCCCTCACAGCTTGCTGGGAGGGCTGTGTCCTGGAGAAGCCCTGGCTAGGCCACTGTCGGTGATAACTTGAGCAGGGCTCTGGACTCCGTGGAAACCATTTCTATCATTTTTGTTGTTCCTTCCAGGCTATCAGGAAACGGCAGTGGTTCTCCAAGAGAGTCCTGACTGTATCAGAGTTAAGTCACCCACACAAAAATCAGGCAGAAATGTGTACTGTGTCACGATCCAGACTTTATTTTTCTTTTTATTTTTGGACGGAGTCTCATTATGTTGCCCTTGGTAGAGCGCTGGGTGTCACAGCTCACAGCAACTAAAACTCTTACTTAGGCTTAAGCGATTCTCTTGTCCTAGCCTCCCAAGTAACTGGGACTACACACACCTGCCATAACCCCTGGTTATTTTTTTGTTGCAGTTGTCATTGTTCAGTGGGCCAGGCTGGGTTCGAACCCACCAGCCTCAGTGTATGTGGCTGGCGCCCTAACCACTGAGTGATGGTGCCACGCCATAATCCAGACTTTAAAGAAATAGTCTTCTCTTCTCTGCTGGACCTTTCTTTTGCTTTCTTGCTTCTATTCAAAGCAATCAAAAAGATTTCCCTTTTGATGTAGGTCCTTTTGTGCTCTTCAAGATCTCATTCTGGCTGGGGTTGGGGAGGAGAAAGTGGCCGCTGATTTGAGTCCCTTCATCTTCTCCAGGCTCCCGGTTCCTGGACCTGAGTGCTGATGAACACTGGAATGGGAGCCAGTGCACTCCTTGGAGTCCTGAGGGAGGCCAGTGGGTATCAGGAAGCTGCCTTGTTAGGGAGCTTCCCTGTCTCTGGCCCTCCACCCTGATCCTTAGCTTACGGGACTTTGGAGGGCCGGAAGCAGAGCTTTAAAGCTGGCCCCAGGCTGGAGGGTGGATCCTGTGTCTAGCTCTTGTCCCTGACCTCTGGGGTAGGAAGGCATTGGGGCAGATGTAAAAGGGACCTAGAGCTCTAAGGTTCAGATAAACCATGATAGCACTGTTCTCTTGGAGATGCAAACATCTGAATGCTGCTAATTCCACTCATTGGGTGGGTGGCCTTGAGCAAGGTAATCTCTTTGAGTCTGTTTCTTTATTGGGAATAGAAATAGTAACTACTTTACAGGATTATTATTATTTTTTTTGAGACAGAGCCTCAAGCTGTCCCCTGGGTAGAGTACTGTGGCATCACAGCTCACAGTAACCTCCAACTCCTAGGCTTGGGAGACTCCGTCTTGCAAGTAGCTGGGACCACAGGCGCCCGCAACAACGTCTGGCTATTTTTTTTGGTTGCAGCCATCATTGTTGTTTGGCGGGCCCGGGCTGGATTCAAACCTGCCACCTTGAGTGTATGTGGCTGGCGCCTTAGCCACTTGAGCCACAGGAGCCAAGCTACCTTACAGGATTATTATGAGAGTTAAATGTGATTGTATATGAAGTGCCTGGCCTCATCTTATAGTAAGTGCTCAGTTCCAGGCTCACCATTTACTATGTGGCCCTGGGCAAGTCAACTTAACCTCTCTGATCCCCAATTTCATCATTGGTAAAAGGGCAAACATCACACCTACCTTTTGGCATTCTAATGCATGTTGGAGTTAACGTATATAAACTTTCTAGCAGAGTCTGACTACAGAGTCTTCTCAAAGCGTGATCCTTGCCCACAGCATTCCCTGGGAGCTTTTTAGAGATGTGAATTCCCAGGCTCAGACCTACTGATACAGAAACTCAAGTGCCTGGGCAGGGCTCGCTGGAACTGCCCTGCTAGTGGTTCTGATGATCTCAAGTTTGGAAACCACAGCTCTTCAGGCGGCCTCAAACTACGGCCCTTGGGCCACATGCAGCCCTCCTAGGACATTTATTCCGCCGGCTGGGTGTTTTTGCTGCTGCTGCCTGTCCTGCTTAGCAGCCGACTCATCCTGGGGCCCGCTGTCTGGCCCTCCAACGGTCTGAGGGACAGTGAACTGGCCCCCTGTTTAAAAAGTTTGAGGACCGCTGGTGTAGAGCGATGCCTACATAGGAGTTAGCTAAAAGATGAGGGCTAATTGAAATAATTTCCCAGTACTCACTGGAGTCCTGGTGAGGAAATTTGGTTCTCTTGTTGACCTTAGGCAAGTTACCTAATCTGTTGAGGCATCTGTAATATGGAGCTGTAACAGAATGTCACTCATAGTATAGGTGTGAGGATCAGATGTGCCTGGCGCATAGTAAATGCTGGATGTTCCTGCCTTTGTCAGCCGTGGTGGGGGTATGATTGGGTTACTGGACCGCGGTGGGGAGATTTTGGGCTGGGGGCGTGAGCACTCCACCTTGCAGTTAGAAGGTGACATGAAGCAGCTGAGGGGGCAGGGCTGCCACCTCTGCTCCGAGTTCCTTCCCCCTCATTTAAAAAGCACCCCTCAGATGCATCATTATTATCTTGTGTGGGCAAAACAAACTGGTTTCTGATGCAGCATAAGGGAATTCAATTAGACACCAGGGGGCCTTCCTGAGAGTAAGGATGGGAAAAGGGCTGGCCCTAGGGGCAAGGAGAGGGAGACATCCAGTTCTGGGCTCACTCCAAGCTCCATCAACCTTGAGGCGAGCAGGGTTTCCTTGAGGAATCTGCAGGAAGGAGGAAGAACCGGGTCCTCTCCCAAGGACTCAGGAGGATGGGTCCGAGGCGGTGCGGAAACGCCTCGCTCCAGCGGGGAGGGCCGTAGAGACAGATGCACCGCGGAGGAGGTGCGACGGCGTGGGAACGAAGCCCCGGGGCGCTCCGGACGGCCGGGGTGAGGGGGTGGAGCGCAGCCGCGGAGGGTGCCGGGGAGGCCGCGCTACTAGGGTTCAGGCGGGGACAGCCGGTCCAGCGCCATCGCCACCCCACCCCCGCGTGAGTGCATTCGGGTTCGCCTGGCATGGGCTTCCGCACCGCGTCTTCACCCCTTACTCTCTGCCCCGTCGTGGCTTTACTCGCCGGTGCCCAATTCCCACGCCAAGCCTCATTTCCACCCCACCCCCACCGTATTCCATCCTTGGAATACGGGTCCTTGTGCCTTCGGTTCTCAGGGTCCTGTTCCGGGGCCAGAGGGCGCTGGACTCAGGTGGCCAGCCCGAACGTGTCCCATCTGCCTCTCTGCCCCTCGGGGCCGCTGGACAGTGGCCCAGGCCTGCGGCTGTCGCTTTTCTCCTCTTCACCTTATGGGACCCAGCTCTTCTCCACCTCCTCCGCAAATCCCGAAAACATCACGAGGAGGCGCGCGTGGTCCTAGGGGAAATTCCCTCGCGAAGAGAAGGGAGCCCGCCCTGCCCTTCCCCGAGCTGGAGCTCGGCTCTCGGGGACGCTTTCCCCAGGTGAGGGGGCGGAGCCGGGCGCAGACGCGCGGCCGCGGCCAGGGCCTCGTTTTCTTGGGTTTGGGTGACCCCTGGTGGTCATCCAGAGTGAGTGCCCCAGGCTAATAGCTGGCCCAGAATTCAATCCTGCCTGGTGGCGGGGAGAGAAATGGAGAATTAGGTTGGCCTAGGTGTCATTCGGAGGAAAGAGAACTATCCTCTTCAAGTTAACACTGAGAATGTCAGAAACTTCCCTGCCTGGGCGAGTCACTCCAACCCTGCCCGAGCCCCCTTTCTAGAACTCCAGCTTGGGGGTTCCACTGGGCTTTTATTTAGGGAGGTTGTGCTTTGCACAGGCCTCTTCCTGCTCCCTGTGTCCCTGTCGCTGGAGGTGTCTGTGGGAAAGTACCCTACCATCTACGCGGTCAATGGCACCGAGATCCTGCTGCCCTGCACCTTTTCCAGCTGCATCGGCTTCCGGGACCTCCAATTCCGGTGGATCTACAACAACAAGACCGTAAGAGAGGGCGGGGATGGGGCGGGGATGGGCAGCCCAGTCCTCCCTTCCTTCTCCGTCGCCTTATCCACGACTCTAATCCTAGCCTGCTGCCCCCTCTGGACCGAGACCCTCTGTCGTGGTCCCCACAACCCACTTTTTTATCCCTAGTCTTTTCAGAACCTGTCTGGAAAGAGCTAAGTGGGAGGGATGCTTACATGGTGTTGCCAGATTTGGGGACCTGTTGGAATTCTTGGCTGGAGTCCTCTGTCTGGTCTTAACACCTGAAATTTGGATTGCTTGTACAAAAACGAATAGGTTAATTTATCGAACAGGAGAGAGAAAGCTCTTTGGGAGGCTTGGAGAGAGGGAATGAGAAGCGTCCAAATGAGCGAAGAGCTGAGAACCTGGACTTGGAAGGACAGGACAGAGGAAGTTAGAGGACTGCAGGAGATTTTCAGGAGCATCTGGGGGGTCGGGGGGTGGGGTGGGGACGGATCAATGAACATGTATTTATTGAGTGCTCACACTGCAGCCTAGAAGGGGACCTGGCCTGAGACCATCATAGGGAAGCCACAAGAGACCGACTCTAGATATAATTGAGTGCTGACCTCAAAGGGTGCTGATGAACAGATCAGTGGGGTTTGATCCAGGTCTTGATGGAGGGCCAGAGTCCAGTGGGCAGGGGACACGGCAGCAGCAAAGGCTGGGTGGGGAGCCACAGAGGGAAATGAGCGTGGTGTTTGCAGGAGTCATTATATAAAAGGCTTTTATGAAGACAGCAGTAGAAGCTGTGCTACATTTCAGGGAGGCCTTAATAAAAGGAAATGGGTTTAGCCTGAAACAGAACAAAATTCAGATTAGACAGGCAGGGGAAAACAAGGGGCAGAGAACAGGCTCTGACTGGGCAGGGGAGACACCCGAAGAGTGGGCTGGTGCACTGTCATGGCCCTTGATGTCCCTGATTCTTTCTTGGGCACTTTCCCTCTGCCCCCCAGATCATAGACGGGATTGTGAAGAACGAGAAATCTGACCCCAAGGTGACATTTAAAGACGATGAACGCATCACTCTGGAGGGCTCCACCAAGGAGAAGAAGAACAACATTTCCATTCTGCTGAGGGACCTGGAGTTCAGCGACACAGGCAAATACACCTGTCACGTGAAGAACCCCAAGGAGAACAATCTCGAGCACAATGCCACCATCTTCCTCCAAGTCGTTGATCAGTGTATGCAGTAGGGGCTGGGACCAGGACGGTGGAGTGGGCAGGACTTGGGGAGGGCTACCCAACTCTGTGTTACAGCAAAGTGATGAAATGGACCATATTGGTATTTTCACTTGCTTTACACTTTCAAGGATTACTGGAGTTACAGCTAAAAGCTAGAGAATTCTACTCGAACACTTACTCGACTACTGAGTAGTTTGCGAAATACACTTAGCCTCTCTGAGGCTCAGTTTCCTCATCTGTGAACTGGGGATGTGTTTGCATCATCCCAGGCTTGTTGTGATGGTTGGAGCAGCTACCTAGGTATATTTTGTGGCTAGTAAAGTTTTTTTGTATATGCCAATTATTACTATTATGGAGTATTCCATTAGCAAGAGTTGATTGAATGTTGGCTATTGGACTAAAAAGCGCTATGAACAATGCATAGTATTCTTTCTTGAGGAACCAACAGTTCAGAGTAGGATGGAAGATAGATAAGTAACTGAAACAGAGGCAGAGCCGGATCCATATGCGAGTAGAGGCACAGACAGAGATGGAGTAAGACACAGCTGTCCCCTCTGAAGGTTCATATCCTAGCTGGGGATTCGAGTCTGATGCAGATGGACCAATCAGACAATAATCAGGGCTGGAGATGTGAGGGAAAGGCCTGGAAGGCAAGGGAAGTATAGAAGACATAAGAAAGAGAAGACAGTCTGTGCAGAGATCCTGATTCTGCTGCATTTTGTGTGCATCTGGAGGCTCACTGCTCTCCTGGGTGGTGTGGAGCGTCTGGAGGGGGAAATGCCATGGGTGTGCCAAAGGAGAGCCAGAGGCCATCCAGGCAACTTTTCTGAGCCTGGTGTCATTGGAGTCAAGTCTGCCTAGGGGTCACTTCCTCCTCCCTATGATATCGCCTAGATGGTGAAATCTGAGCTCCTATCACCTTGCTTTGTCCTCAGCAGGTTTTCAGGAGGGAAGAAAAGGGAAGGAAATCAACATTTATGGAGCATTTTGGGGTGGCAGGGCCCCAGTTAGGTGCTTTCACCGACCTTAGTTCCTTTGCCCCTCATGGCCCCTTCAGGGTGGATCTTCTTTCCATCTTTCTAGATTCATTAATTCATATTTCATCTATTCAACAAATGTTTACTGAGCACCTACTATGTGGAAAACATTGTTCTAGGGGTGGTGCCTGTGGCTCAAAGGCGAAGGGTGCTGGCCCCATATGCCAGAGGTGGCAGGTTCAAACCTAGCCCCGGCCCCAAACTGCCAACCCCCCCCAAAACAACAAACAAACAAACAACCCCCGCCCACATTGTTCTAGGTGCCAAGGACACAATGTGAACAAGACAGACAAATTCTTATCTTTATGGAGATTACATTCTTCCCCTTCTAGTGGAGAGAGACATAGAATAAGAAAATAAAGAAGAAAATGATATTGTATAAGAGAACATGGTCAGTGTTGTGGAGAAAAAATAAAGGAGGGGTGAAAGCTGGGGTGTGAGTAGGGTGGCTGGGGAATGCCTCAATGGAAAAGGTGATAGAGTGAGGGTGTTTGAGGGAGGCAGGAGAGGATGCCTTTGGGAAGATAGTCCAGAGGGAATAGCAAGTGCAAAGGCCCTGAGGCAGGTGCCTGAAGAACAACAAGGAGGCCAGTGTGGCTGGAGTAGAATGAGGTCAGTCAGGGTGAGCCAGATTGCATGAGGCCCTGTGAGCAGGAGTGAGATGTAGGCACTGAAGGACTCTGAATAGAGTCTGAACAGGCTCCCTCCAGCTGCTGTGCCAAGGCCCAATTAGGAAGCTATGGCAAACATACATCCAATCAAGAGGTGACTTGGGCCAGGGTGGCTGTGAGTGGTCAGATTCTGGAATTTTTGGAAGTTAGAGCTGTTGGGATTCTTAGGTAGATTGGATACAGGGCTTGAGAACAAGGGAAACATCAAGGATGACTCCAAGGATTTTGGCTACAGCAGTTGAAAGGATAAAGCTGTTGCCAGCAGAGATGAGGAAGATTGTGAGTGAAGGAGATTTGGGTAGAAGTCAGGAATTCAGTTTTCAGATGAGGCGATCAAGGTTGGGTTTCAATGACCTGCCCAACGTTGCCAGCTAATCCAGACCATGTGACTCCAAAGTCTTCCCATCATCTAGGAGATATCATAGGGACATTTTCAATGTAAAGGCTCTCCTTTGCATGGGAAGGGAGCCCTAGAAATTGACAATGACATTCTTACATGGCAATTTGGGGGTCAAGTCATAACTTCAACCTAGGTATTATAGGCTCCAATTCTGATTTATTCAAGAATTGTGGAATAAATTGGGAAAGTGGACCCCTTGTGTTGTGCCCTGGCCTGATGGATGCTGTAGGCCTGGGGAGGGCTGGGGGCCTAGGGGTGGACATGGCCCAGATGCCACTTGGGGTGGAGGCTGCTCAGCCCAGGCACTGCCACAGTGCTTGGCTCCAGGTGACTCCTGCTCCCTTGTCCCTGCCCTTCCTTCCTTGCCTTGGCCATGCAGTGGAGGAAGTGGACAACACGGTGACGCTCATCATCCTGGCTGTCGTGGGCGGGGTCATCGGGCTCCTGGTCTTCATCCTACTGCTGAAGAAACTTATAGCCTTCATCCTCAAGAAGACTCAGGAGAAGAAGTGAGTTGGCCTGAGGCCCAGGCCTGTCCTCCCAGCAGTTCACCACCCTTCTCCTCCCCCGCTTCACCTTCCCCACCGGCCTTCAACTGTCCATCTTCTCCTCATTTCACCCTCTCTCCTTAATCCTGCCACTCTGCCGTGTCCCAGCAGCCCTCCTCCCCACTTCCCAGACTCTCTCCTCCTCTCTTCCCAGCCCTCCTCCCCATTTCCCA